AGTCGTGTATTCGCTCGGAGTAAAAATCAAACGAATCAATACCACTGGTTACAAAGGTATAGGTCTGCTCGAGCCGACCGAAGAAGCATTAGACTCGGAAGGGGAGCAATAGACGGCGGACGAGCAAGTCGCGGGAGTAGGTGAGGTAGGCTTGAGTAGGTCCGAAGGTAGGTGTCAAAAAATTTCCGTTTTCCAAATGATTTACGTACTGTTTTGTAACTAGGTAGTTAAAGTAGTTATAAATTTCTATTTTTATATATAGAAGAGAAGAGAAGCCTTCTCACACCACATCAATTGCTCATCTTCTGTATATACAAAGAAAGCTGGGAGACAGCTACCTCCCTACCTTTAATTTCCTTCAGATTCGTGGACTGATCATAGGACTGAAACCCTGTAGGACTGCATCTACTGCAACTACCTCCCCAGCAGCACTGCCCTAAAGGCCTCGCTCCACAGCCTCGCCGGCACAGCTATGGACAATTTGGCGTCGTCCACCCTGCTCAGGTCGACGTTGAAGCCGCTGAGCAGGATGGGCAAAAACACCATGAGGCTCGAGAGTCCTGAGTACCACCCGAGCACCCGGAACTTCTTCAGGAAGCTGTTGACGGACTCCACGGCAGAGGTGTTGACCCATCGGAGGGCGTCGTAGTACTCGGTGGCGTTGCTAGGTCCACATTTGTGCACCTCTGCCCCGGCTTTTGCATAATGGAACCTGCATGGAAGCGAACGCCGCATTAGCGAGCTCGCTATTGCAACACTCTCGCCATTTGCTGGAATGACTCGATCTGTAACGGAATCGACCAGCAGGAGCCGAAACTTGTGGTTGAGCGGACGCTTACCTGTCCACGACGAAGGTCACGTCGGAGAAGAACGCGGGCTCGCGGCGCATGCAGTAGTTCCTCAGCTGGCACGCGTTATCGTACACGACGTACTTAGGGAGCTCCTCCCGGTCCAGGCGCGTGTACAAAACCGCGAACGCATCGCGGAGGCTCTCCCCTCGGAGGAAGAAGTGGAAGCCCGAGATGACGCGGTGCGTGCAGCAGAGAACGAAGGCGCCCCGGCTGCGGTGGGGGCGCTTGCCCCTCTTCGTCGACTTGCTACCCCCCTTGACCAGTCCCGGGACGTTCGCGGCGTCCCAGTCGCCCACCGTCTGTCCGGTTGCGCATTTGAACTCCTCCGACGTTCTGCTGCGCCCATCCTCGTGCTCGAACGACGTGTATCGCGGCAAGCCCCGCTTCTGCTCCCACCCCGGCAGCGCGTAGTGCCCCAACGCATCCTGCTCGGCTCTGAAGGTGTGCCCAGCAGGGAGCGGATGCATCCGATTGCCCTCCTCGTCCCGCCCCAGCCGGCCGCGCAGCAACCCCCTCTCTACTAGCTGGCTCATGGCCTCCCACTGCAGTGCGTTAGGCTGCGAGCCCTCTACGCCTGGGAGAAGGTCTTGCGCGCTCGTCCGAGCCTCTGCCAGCGACGCGGCCTCCGCCTCGGTGAGCGGCCCCCGCTCCCGGCTCAGATGCTGCAGCGCGACCGCGCGCCCCAGCGGCCGCAGAGCGGCGACGACCCAGCCCTCCTGCATCCCATCGCCGTACCCGGTGTTGCCGCGAGCCAGCAGCGTGAGCTCGTAGAGGTGGTGCAGAGCGAGCATAAAGAAAGCTGGAAAGCGGTGCCCGCCCTGGGCGTCCAGCACGCGCCGCAAAATGGGAGAGTGCTCCCCCAGCTGGCGGCGGTCCTCGACGCTCGCGTCCCTCCCCAAGAGTAGCTCCCGGACCACAGCCAGCCCGTCGGAGTGGCCGATGACGCCGTCGTCCGAATCGTGTGCGCCCAGGTCGTATAGCAATTCGCCCCACTCGCATGGCCAATGCTCCCACAAACGCGGGCTCCCACCCCTCGCCGCTTGCTCGAGCTCGATCCCCTCCAGCAAGCGCAGCATCGCCCGATTTTTGTCCCGCACCATCTGGCGCTGCTCGACCAAGAGGCGGCGTCTGGTGTTCGCTGGCACCGGGCCCTCGCCATCGCCCGGAACGAAGCGGGTCACGAGTCGTACGTCGTCGTTGGCGAGGGACCCCTTCAAACCCAGGTACTCGCCCTCGCTCAGCCGCTGACCCAGCTTCTCGCTCACCGGTCGATGCCGAGAGACGCGCGCTATCAACTCCCGCAGCTCCGGTTGCAATACCAGCCGCCGCTTCATGCCCCCGCCCTCCAGTCCTGCAGCACAGTAGTCGCGCCCCGCAACCAATTGCTTCTCGAGTGCGGCGCCGTCCGCAGACCGGCTTGGATGTGTGAACGGCCTGCGGAAATCGTGCGAGCTCGACGCCAGCCCCCCCGGCCGCTTTCCCCCATCCGAATTGGCAATTCCCACGATCCCATCGCAGAGTAGAACCTGCGGAAGCATGATCGAGCAGGTTCATCAGAACTGATCCATCAACCGGCAAAAGCAATAGGTGCGAGGACTCCCTACGGGTTTCATCGAAATCATGCCTTGAGTAAAGCAGCTATCCCCTGAGCCTACACTTGCTTTCAAAACGTATCCAAGGTGCCATCACCAATTCAACTGCTATGCCCTTTCAAGCGGCCTCATCTTCCTTTAAGTTCCTCCGATCAAGATGCTCACCTCCGGATGCGGACCGCATATGCTACAGCACTCCATGATCTGCCGCCCCACCAGCCGGAAGAAATCGAGGCTGGCCTTCCGCCATGTCTCCTCGGATAGTACGGCGCACTCTGGTGCCCTCCGGAAGGCCTCTTGCTGGCCCTCCAGCAGCGCCCCGAATCCCGACTGGCCCCTCTGCATCTGCTTGAGCAGCAGCTGGAGGCTTTCCTGCACGACGATCGTCTGGCGGCTCCAGACGTAGAGCCCCAAATGCTCCCCATCGAAATGAATGGTGTGCTTCCTCGGGCATTTGCAGGAGTAGATCCTGGTGCGCACGGCCTGGCTCCAAGTCGAGGCATGCACTACCGCATCCTGCCACAGCTCCACCCAATTCTCGTCACAGGGAGGCTGTTCGAGAGGGCACGGCGCGCTCAGCATACCGAGGTTGCCCAGCTCCTCGAAGTCCCGCCCCACCAGCTTGCTGACGCGAATCGGCCCGCACCTCAGCCGCATCACCCACGGGTCGTGGAAA